TAGTATAGAGTGTGTCCCAAAATTATGGTATTTCCGAGAAATGAGAGGTCTTGAGGTCATTTGAAGCAACTTTCTCCTTAGCGAAAATGCAAACTGCAGCTTCGTTTGCGAGTTATTAACGAAAAACAGTGACCAATGAGAGGCGAGATCAGCTGGCGCGATGCGGACGAGCCAATCAGCGGATCTGGGCTTCCACCGCTCGTTGGCTCGGCCATCTTGTGCTAGCTGAACTCGCCTCTGATTGGTCACTATTTTTCGTTAATAACTCGTAAACGAAACCACGGATTGCATTTTCGCTAAGGTAAAAGTTACTTCAAATGATCTCAGGAACCTCTCATTTCCAGGAGGTACCATAATTTTGGGACATCCTGTAGAAGGTCGATGACTTGGGATTGAGGAATGTTTCAAGAAGATTTTGAACACGATTTGTTAAGTATGTTATTCGTTTATTTTAACCCGGGATAAAATTCTATATTTCTGTTATCGATTAGACATTCAATAGATATAAATTTTGAAAATTCTGAACGATCCTAATCATCATAGTTGTGTAAAATAAATCATAAGACATGTAGCTAAGCATTCGATCGCAAAAAGATGTCTGCCTCTCAATGATTAACTTAACACAACCTTCCTCACTGCCACCTGTTCCATAGGCACACCGCTCTCGAGAAAAATGTCCCCTCCCCGAATATGAATAATGGAAAGTAGAGAGATTTCTATAGGGTACTTTCTCGAAGTGCGAAAATTTTGTCGCTCTCTCGGAGGGTTGTTTGGCCAACACAGCCCCATAATTTCACTCGAGAAATAACAAGTTTCGTTACCGATGGAAAACGCGGAAGACGCTCACCCCCGTGGAAACCCTTCAAACGCAAGCGAACGAAAAACGGAGGCGTTAAAATGGGGATGGAAATAGGGGCGAGTGTGTCGTAGGAGAAAAGAGACCGCCTGGGAGTCAGTATTGCCGTAAGATGGGCGCAGCTACAATTCAGAGACGAGCTGTCGATAGCACGGGCGTTCGCCGTGCGATTTCAATCGCGTATCTTCCCGCGGCGCGATAAGCATCTCCGCGTATACAACCCAGATTTGTCGGTGATGCGTATCACAGGATTTCCTCGAACATGTCGACCGATTGAAACAACTGCCACCGTCTCGGTGAGATTCCCATCCGGCGCGCGATTTCTCTCGGCGAGAGGGAATCGCGATCGGCACTCGAGTGCCACTACGTTCCCAGTTCCTAGCACCCCGGAACACCGGGATGTCCCAAATATTGTAGCAAAGTAGGAGACATTGGTCGCAGAGCTGCCGGGTTATCTTGTTGGATCTAGATCCGAGCTGGTCCTTCTTGATCTTCGAAGAATTCGGCGCAGATGTAGTCCAAGCTGCGAACTCTCTGAGCTCTCTCTTTCGTTGGAGCAGCCGAAGACAGTATGAGAATGATATCTCGATGGTTCGATCAAATCTCCAGGATGGCTCTGCGATGCGGAAAACATTGCCAAATGTGTTGTCAGGTAGTTTCGGAGCCGAGTAGCCGAATCAAAACTCGATGCTGCGATAGTCGAAGGCGCTACAGCCACGACAAGAGTTTCCACGTCGTGGTCTCTCGGCTCTAGCACGTCGACTTATCGTTTAAGAAATTTTCCCGGCTTATCCGCGGGAGGGTTTTCCTCCGTGTCTCATTGCGGGCACAGGGGGGACCAGCCCCGAGGCGATTTCTCGAACAATATTGCGGATACGAGCGTCTCTCGAATGCGCGATAAAGCTCGCGTATATCGGCTTTCGGCGCCGGGGTCAGAGGGGAGATTGAATGGAACGACCGAAGATTTCGATAAGATCGTGTCCTCGTTATGATTTCGAGCGTGTATCGGAACGGGAGGACCATTCACGACGCTCCATTTCGCCGGCGATATTGCGGAAACTGTTTCTTCCCTTTGGTGGGAAGAAACGTTCAGCCGCGTGGCCATTTTGAATTCATAATTAGAGGCGAAGTGACGGAAGCTGATCGGCGTAATTTGTCTGCTGGTCGAGAATCGTTTCATTGTCTTAGTCTCAGAGACTTGCACCGATCGGCTTTTGAACCTTTCTGTTATTAGAAAACAGACAAGGCATTTTATGTAATCCAAAAATTATTGGAATTCATAATGTAATGAGGTACGAGATGTAAAAACGAAAATTGAATATATTTTTGTGGTCAGATTTTTGCAAAATGTGCAGGGAAATTTTCTGTATCCACGTGATATGAGAAATGTTTATGCATTGTTTAAAAATATACAGTATTATTACGAATTGGCTACAGAAAAATTAGAACCAATGATCATTTTTCCAGAAGATAGTTATTTCATTTGAATTTTATTTTCATTGTTTAATCGTTTAACAATTGTAGACTAACTAACAATGTAGACTATTAATAATGGCCTGACAAGTGCATAACTGTTCCATCCAAATTCAAACTCAGTACTGTATCGATGCGCCACCTGGCGGCCATTGGTGAAATCCGCAGTTAGCAATATGAATTCTAAAAGTGCTCCGTAGAGAACGCCGCTGCGTTTTTTAATCAACAATTTGGTGAGTGAAATCATTTTGCATGCATCAAAAGGTTAATAAATATGTAATGTGTGACTTTCCGTACAAATCGTGCTAAAAATCACATATGGGGACCGCGTTTTACAAGTATATCGAAAGATAGTTTAATAGCACAGTATCGGTCTTCGTAGAAGGCTTTACTCAATGGCGGGTGTCGGAATAGATTCCTAATATTTCGAAAATAGGATTGCAATTTTTCTAGTTAATAATGAGAGGTAAGTCTGGTTATACAGGGTGTTCCACAATTATTTTAACAGCCGAGAATGAGGGGTAGCTGAGGTCATTTGAAGTAACTTTTTCCTTTGCGAAAATGCGATCTGCGGCTTTGTTTACGAGTTATTAACGGAAAACATTGACCAATGAGAGGTGATGGCGCGAAGTTCGAGAGCCCGCAGCACGAGGCTTTGACAGATGGTCGGGACGGACTCGAACCGCGTTCGAAGTATTGAACAAATCACGAAGCGAGAACTTTCCGGATTTTCGTCTGAAGAATATTTACTAATTTTTCGGACCCGAAATAGTAAGTAATTTACCGTGACGGCCGTTTTAATTTTCTAGTATGCATGACACCTTGTGTGTAACATATGAAATTTTTAAGCAAGGTGTACAGTGAAGATTAACAAAGTACGTAAATGATATATTAATTTAAATAATTCCGTGTCCGAACACAGTTCAACGAATGATTCGCAAAGCTAATTTAATAAATAATAATCGTGTTAAAGGA